TCTCTTCCTCAACTGCCATCTTATTATATCTGATTTTTGCAATTGACCTCTTAAGTCTCAGATCTTCAGACAAGGGACCCGCCTCTTCAGCTCTATCAATCTCTACAATGGTGCTCAACAAAGCCTTCTTATCAGTAACCCACTTCATATTCTTCTCCTTACTCTAAATTTTTAGTTTACCCTTGACAGCCTTTAATTTTGATGCCATAACGAAAGAATTAGAGCCCTCCACTTGCAACTCATTCCATACAGAGTTGATTAAGGGGATAAGATTTTCCTCCTCAAACCAAGCATTTTCAAGCTTAAACGGGGATTTGACTGTCTCACGGAGACCACAAACAAGCTGAATAGGGCTATGGTTGGACACCGGTCTAGGAAGGGTAAGCTGTTTGAAATCAGGAAAGAATTCATCCCGTCCAAAAAGCCACTCGAAAGTTAGCATCAACAGGACCATAAACGTTTGTGACTTGAATAAGTTTTCCATCTTGTAGTTTCAGTCTCAGAGTGATTGAGAAATTACCAATTCTGCAAGAAACCAATGAACAGAAGGTAGGGTCCCAAAGGCTCACAATTCCACCAACACTCCCCAAGGCAGCCAAGGCCTTCCATCTGACCTGACCCTCCCCACAAACACTTAGAATTGTAGCAGCATCAACCCACTCCAGCTTAGTTTCTTGGAGCAAGACAATCTTAGACTTYGATTGCTTCAAAGAATCACATACCATCATCCTCCTCCTTCCCGATCCCAGTCCTCTAACATTCAAGGAAAGAATTTTCACTTCCATAAGAAAAAACTAAAGAAAAGGACCCACACTTCACATCTTCTTAGACCCCCTTGCAGCCCCTTCACTGCCCCCCGCCTTATCATTCAGACCCCAAGTTAATCTCATCATTTCTATGCTTCTCTTTGTTTTTAATCCCCCTTTTTTTGCTGCCAATTTTCCCCTCTCCATAAGCACTCTTTGTTCAATTCCTTCCAAGAACTTAATAGTATCAGCTTCCATCCCCTCCGTCGAAATTCCCAGGAAAGTTCCCAGCCCCAGAAGTTTCGATGCCACCCAAGAAGATTGATTAGTTTCAGACTTACTGTCCTTGCCTACCTCCGTGGCTGATGAATTTCTCCTTGTTTCCTAACAAGACTTCTCCGTTGCTTCTCCTCATTTGCTTGGGGCTTACACCACTATTTCCCAACTCTTTGGATTGATCAAGACAATTTCCCACATTCCCACTATGAATCTCGTTACCCACCACCGCAATAGGGGTCGCCACCAACAGAGTCTCTTCCACTATCTCTTCCACTGGCACCAGAGGCAGCTCTTGACTTTGTTGCCGCCTATTGTCCATCTCCCACACACTTTTTGAAGTTCGGTGTAAACCACCCATGTGCAAAGAGATCATTAATGTGATTAAAATTTATAACAGGATTTATTTTAGAGATTTCTTGATCAATATGATTTTATAGATGTTCCTTCCTTTAAATGTTCAGCTTCTGAACGGTTCCTGTGCTTCAATTATCTTCTAGCATGTAAAGCTCTATGTCTTTTATCATACAAGCATCCCAGAGAGAGAGAGAGAGAGAGAGCAAGGTGTATTTTCTGTATTCTGTATTACCATACTAGGAATGTATAATTGTTTGGTTTGGGCTTGCTTGAAACACTGCACTTCCTTTTCAGCTTTTTACCCAACTTATCATGTCCATGGATGCATTCATTTTTCTGTTTGTTCAGTGTATAATACATTCTTAATGTTGGTTCTCGTAAATCTTCCATTCTGTGTTTGGTCTATCTGTAGTTTGAAAGTGTGCTTGATCTTGGTTTCAAATTATTATCTCTTGTGACTTGGTAGATTGGAAACACTAATTAAATTATATTACTCTGACCTATCCTTGCATTGCAGAACTAAGAAAGTGGATGCCTTCACTCATAGACTTTTGGATATTCATTCAAAAATGTTAGGAATCAATAAAAAAGAGGTGATTTGTTGTATCTATAATATTCAGATAAGCTGAACTTACTGTTTGGGCTAATGGTAAGTGGAAATTGGAACTTTACAATGTGAAAGAATCTGATCTTGTTTCAATTATTTTAATAGGAAATACGCTTGGGCTTACATCGATCAGATTATATGCTTGATGCTCAAACTAAACTACTATTGCAAATAGAGCTCAACACTATTTCATCTTCATTCCCTGGTCTTAGCTGTCTTGTGAGCGAGCTTCACCGGTTAAGTAATTCTATCTTGACCTTAGAATGCATGGTGTTTCTCCAGYATTTTTTTATTCTATTTTTTATTACAATAAATTTAAGAAAGTAGTCGAACAAGACTACGACCTATTTTAAGTGTTGATGAGAAAAAACAAACAAAGATAGAAGAGAAGAGAAGAGAAGGAGAGGAGAAAGGGAACTCGAAGATAGAATTTTGGAAAGAGAGTGAGTGAACTAGCAATTGCCGCCCCACTCCTTATAATTTATATCCATATCTAAATAAATGTAAAAGGGCTGAATTACCCCTATTGCTTACATGGCAAAATAATAAAAGACAAATTAATAACACAAGTCTGAAATAACTACTAACTAACAAACTGAAAAAAACTAACATAACAACTAACTGAACGGACACAGTGGGGACCACATCAGTGTTCTCTACACTCCCCCTCAAGTTGGGAATAGATATTTGTCATTCCCAACTTGCATAGGTCTGCCTCTAACTTCTTCTTGAGATGCAACCCTTTCTCTGATAAAATGTTGGTCTACTTCAATATGCTTAGTTCTGTCGTGTTGTACCGGATTATGAGCTATATTAATAGCAGCCTGATTATCACAGTACAACATTAAGGGCTTCTCATAAGCAATACCCAACACCTCAAATAGGGATCTCAACCATAGGATTTTAGCTACACCATTAGCCATGGACCTTTATTCAGCTTCAACACTGGAACAAGAAACAATATTTAACAATATTTTGTTTCTTACTCCTCCAGGAGACAAGATTACCTCCTACAAAAGCACAATATCCAGAGGTAAATCTTCTATCATCAACACACCCTACCCAATCAGCATCTGTGTAAACTTCTATTTTCATGTGATCATTATTCTTGAATAAAACACCTCTGCTAGGGCACCTTTTCAAATATGCCAATATCTTCTCAACTGCAAGTAGGTGAGTAGTTCTAGGAGAGTGCATATACTGACTAACAACACTAACTGCATAATTGATGTCTGGTTGTGTGAGACAAAGATAGAGAAGTTTTCCAACTAGCCGTTGGAACATAGTTTTATCTTCAAGAGGCTCTCCACCTTCTACACTGATCTTGTGGTTCTGTTCAATAGGTGTGTCAGCAGGCTTAACACCCAACTTTCCAATTTCTTCCAACAAGTCAAGAACATACTTTCTTTGAGAAACAAAAATCCATGCTTGGACCTAGCTAGCTCGATACTCAAAAAGTATCGTAGCTCTCCCAAATCTTTTACCTCAAACTCTTGATGAAGGAATTGCTTAAGAGTCTCAATTTCACTGTTATCATTCCCTGTTACTACAATGTCATCCACATATACAGCAAGCAAGGTTAAGGAAGAATCCACTTTCTTGATGAATAAGGTGTGGTTTGATTAGGCCTGCACATAACTGAACTTTTCAAGGGTTTGTTTGAATCTATCAAACCAAGCTCTAGGGGACTGCTTTAGTCCATACAAGGCTTTGTTCAGCCATCAAACCTTCTTTCCTGTTTCTGCACCATAAAATCTAGGCAATAACTGCATGTAAACCTCTTCTTGCAAGATTCCTTTTATTGGCCTACAAAAATAGGGAGAATTATGTGGAGATGTGCTTGTGCTGCTTTGACTTGGACTCTTTGGGAAGAAAGGAATCTCAGAATTTTTCAAGACAAGGAAAGGAACAACCAAGATTTGAAAGACTGTGTGTTAAACAGGGCAATACATTGGTTGAAGACCTTGGAAATCTTCCATCAATTCTCCTTTAATGACCTTTGGAGAAA